GTGGCTGGCCCCCTTCCTGCCGCTACGTATGCTGCCGAGGTTCATGGCGCAAGCGACGGCGAACCCCTTCGTCTCAGACGCAGTTTCGCTTCGGTTCTGAAACCTAGTGCTGTGGACCGCGGCCTTTCTATTTCACGTCTCTTCGGAGAAGACCCCACGCGGTTCATCCAGGCTTCCCCCATCCTCCGTTTGGCCAAGGAGATCTGGAACACGAGAATGAGTTTTTCACCCCTCCACTCTCAGATTTCACCAGCTCCGAACATCTTTCGTTTGTGTGTTCGGCCAGCCTTGGACAATTTGGCTGTCGGTTGCGGGCCCTGCATCGGCCTTTCGGCACCCCCTTCGTCGCCTCGGCTGGACTGCTATGAATTTCGCGACCCTTGTGACTGATCTGGGGTGCGAAGTTTCGCTCGGCTTGTTGTCTCCAGGTTTGTTGAGGCTCCTGCTTAAGGACGCTGTGCTTCGCCAGCTAGAACGCCGTGTCGGAGAACGGTTAGGTTTTCCCGACAGAGTTTGTTTTGATGTCGTTTCCCAGCATTTGCGGTCCAAGTACACCCCCCTGGAGAAAGGGGCCCTTCGGGCCGTGGCCTCAGGGGCCCTCTAGATTCGGATTTACGCCAACGGGAAAGACTACAAGTACCCTCAGGAGTGTCCATTGGGCTGCGGATGCCGCGACACGTTGTACCACAGGATATGGAAGTGTCCTGCTCTTGCAGATGAGCGCCTTGCTTTCGTTTGCCAGAACATCCTCGGAACCATCGACGGCCACGCTACGAACCGTAAATTGCTTTTCTCTGTCACTCGGGGAGGTCTGCCTCATCCTGGGGACGTGCATCCTCGGCCTCCGGCGGAAGGGCCCTGGGTTGCCGAATGGTTTGTTGATCATCCTGGAAACGGTTTTCGCTGGAAGGTGGTATTTTTGTAGACGGCTCTTGCACGCGGCATCCCATCAGAGAGTTGTGCCGCGCCGCTTGGTGCTGCAACACTTTTAAGGACGGGGTGCGTTTGCGTGAGATCCGTTGCCCAGTGCACCCCCTCTCTCAGACAATCGCCTCAGGCAGCTGCGTACTCCTGCTCTCACTGGCAGTGCCATGCGTTTAATGGGGCCGTCGATTAGTTTTTCTGATTGAGTCAATGTCGTCGCATATTATAACGCCGCCAAAGATGCGCGCGATCATTTTCGGAAGGCCCACGCGGGGCACATTGTGCAGGCTAAGGCCGACGGCGCACGTAAATTCCCCGAAGGTGTTGTTAATATCAAGGCACGTTTGAGTTTGAATGAAGCCGGCTTGTCGGAGGCAGAGACCTACCGCAGGACTGGCAATTGTCTTGCTGACCTCGGTGCGAAGGCCGCGGTTGATGTGCACCCGAAGGATCATGATGTTCTCGCGGAGACTGGTATCCGCATTCGATGCACGAGTGTTTTTGTTTTTTGCAAGTGGGCGCTCAATTTGCTGCCCCACTTTCCCTCGCTTAAGGGCTTTGGCAAGGTAGAGTATGAGAAGCCTGAGGTTTCCAAGAATAGTACTGTTCCAGGCATGTGTTCTTTCGCCAGGATAGGTAGGTTCTGGAGGTGCACTATTTGCGCCAGGGCCTTCAGGGCCGATTTTGCCTGTAGGTTTGGGGCTAGGCCCATCCCTTCTGCCAGGAAGTACGCTGGTCCTCCCGAAGGCTGGGATTTCGACAAAGTCAAGACCAACAGGCATTCGATTGTCGGTGTGGCTTGCTCTGATTTCTCCACTTTGTACTCTTGCGTTCATTGTATGGCGATGATTCCGACGGGTTCCCCGATCAAGTCTAACCTGTTTTTGAAGCGCCGCCCTGGCCCTGGGTCCATGGATTTTCGCCTTAGATCTAAGTGGAATAACTTGCTTGCTGGCATTTACCCGCAGCACTGCAAGTCGTCTGTCCGCGTTTTTGTTGATTGTCCTTCGCGAGCGGCCGCCGATGGAGGAGCAACGTGTGGTGGCGTGTCTGATGAGTTTCCTGCTGCTGCTCCACCGACGAATGCGTTTGCTGACGTGACTGTTGCCGCGCAGGCTCAGCCTGGACCAGCGGCCTCGCCAGCTACTGTTTCGGCCCCAGCCGAGGACGGCCGAAGGCATGGAGCCAGCCCCTTCCCGATCTGGATGAGGAGGAGGAGGAGGCTGCTAGGTTCCTCTTCGAACCCTTCCGGGGGCAGGGCGAGAGCGACGGGGCAAGGGCCCCTCGCTCCCTTGTGCCGGGCATGGTGGCTGCTGGACCTGCTCCAGGGGCATCGGGCGAGATGAGTGTCGGTGCGAGCCACACCCTCGAAGAGGATGAGGCCCCCCTGGTCACCCCGCCCAGGCCGCTCGTGCGTGCTGTTATTTTCCTAGCCAAGGTTAACAGGCTAGTCCGAGCCGCCGGTGGCGTTCCTGCCGAGGTTTCCTCGGGTTCAGGTTCGGACTAATCTGTGCTGCGGCCTCTGGCCCACGGGGCCGCCGAGGCCCCCGGGTCTCTGTCCAGGACTATCCCTTTCTGGGCCGCCTGGCTCTTGGGGTTTCGGGCTATTTGTGCCCCTCCTCCGTGCGACAAAACCCCCGCGTTTTGTTGCCCGCGCGTGTCGCCCCTCGTTGTCGCCGTGCTCTGCTGGGCTCATTGCCCACTGTTTGACAGCTGTAGCTTTGCGGGCAACAAAAAATACATAATCCTCCTCATCCTGACCCCCCTCAACCTGACCGGAACTGCCTCGCCATCACCAGTAGCCGTGCGCCCTCAAAGAAAACAATAACGGGGGGGAAGAGGTGGGAGGAAGCAGGAGAAAGAATGAGGTGGGAGAGCCCAGGAGGAGGAGGGAAAGACAAGACAATAGGGACGGGGTCGGGAAGCAGAGGGTGGCTCAAACGCTGTGCGGGCTCGCTTCTGGACCTCGCTCTCGGCCCCCTGGGTCCGCCTTCGGTCCCCGGAGTTCTGACAAAAATGGATTATTCCGATCCTCGTGAGGGTGCGCCGACGCCTTCTTCGGAACCCCATATGAGGCCACGAGCCGTGTGAGGGGTGCGCCGAGATGTGGCGGGGCCGCCATGCGAACCCTGCCACTGGCAAACCTCGGTGGAGCTTCCAATGTAGCCACGGTCCTTGTGAGGGGTGCGCCGAGATGTGGCGGGGCCGCCATGCGAACCCTGGCACCCGTGCCCTCGGTGGAGCTCACCACGGGGCCATGATCCTCGTGAGGGGTGCGCCGACATGGGGCGGGGCCGCCATGAGAACCCTGCCACTGGCGCCTTCGGTGGAGCTCCCTATGGGGCAACGATCCTCGTGAGCGGTGCGCCGAAATGGGGCGGGGCCGCCATGAGAACCCTGCGATTGGGGCCTTCTGAGTTCCCTATGGTGCCATGACCCGCGTGAGGGGCGCGCCGAAATGTGGCGGGGCCGCGATGCGAACCCTGCCACTGGCGCACTCGGTGGAGCTTCCCACGGGGCCACGAGCCGCGTGAGAGATGCGACGAAATGGGCCGGGGCCGCCATGCGAACCCTGCCACTGGCGCCTTCGGGGGAGCTCCCTACGGGGCCACTTGGGCCATTAGCTCGGGCTCCTTATGGGGCCACGGAACGTGTGAGGCGTGTGCCGAAATGGGGCGGGGCCGCCATGTGTACCCTACCACTGGCGCCTTTGGTGGAGCTCCCTCCCTATGGGGCCACGAGCCGTGTGAGGGGTGCGCCGAAATGGGGCAGGGCCGCCTTGCGAACTGTCCCATTGGGGCCTTAGGTGGAGCTCCGTATGGGGCCACGAAACGTGTGAGGGGTGTGCCGAAATGAGGCGGGGCCGCCATGCGAACTGTCCCATTGGGGCCTTAGATGGTGGGGCCACGAAACGTGTGAGGGGTGTGCCGAAATGGTGCGGGGCCGTCATGCGAACTTTCCCATTGGGGCCTTGGGTGGAGCTCCTTACGGGGCCACGAAGCGTGTGAGGGGTGTGCCGAAATGAGGCGGGGCCGCCCTGCGAACTTTCCCACTGGCGCCTTCGGTGGAGCTCCCTATGGGGCCACTTGGGGCTTTAGCTCGACCTCCGTATGGGGCCCCGAAACGCGTGAGGGGTGCGCCGAAATGGGCCGGGGCCGTCCTACGAACTTTCCCATTGGGGCCTTAGGTGGAGCTCCCTATGGGGCCACGAAGCGTGTGACGGGAACTTTCTCACTGGGGTCTTAGATGGAGCTCCGTATGGGGCCACGAAACGTGTGAGGGGTGTCCCGAAATGGGGCGGGGCCGTCATGCGAATTTTCCCATTGGGGCCTTGGGTGGAGCTCCCTGTGGGGCCACGAAACGTGTGAGGGGTGCGCCGAAGTGGACGGGGCCGTCATGCGAACTTTCCCATTGGCGCCTTCGGTGGAGCTCCCTATGGGGCCACGAAGCGTGTGAGGGGTGTGCCGAATTTGGGCGGGGCCGCCTTGCGAACTGTCCCATTGGGGCCTTAGGTGGAGCTCCCGATGGGGCCACGAAGCGTGTGAGGGGTGTGCCGAATTGGTGGGCACGCGGAGAACAGCGGCACTACGCTGACGATGGCGATGTTGATGAAGCCGATGATGGCGATTGTGCCCACGATGATGGCGATGGTGGTGGTGATGATGATGATGATGATGATGATGATGATTATGAATATTATGATGATGATGATGATGATGATGATGATGATGATGATGCTGATGCTGTTGCTGATGCTGCTGATGCTGCTGATGTTGCTGATGATGATGATGATGATGATGATGATGATGATGATGAACATGACGATGACGATGACGATGACGATGACGATGACGATGACGATGATGATGGTGAGAGGGGGAGGGAGTGGGCAGCGGGAGGATGAGGATGGAGACGCGGGGTGCTGTCCCTTCAAAGCGAGGACCCAACACCACAGGATGGTTGGGGAAAAAAACGTCCCTGGGCTATGTTCTATTATGCTTCAGGCATTCCCCGTGTAGAGGGACATGCAGGACTGAACTCATGCCTTGGGTCGCTCTTACGTGTAGCCGCGACAGGTGTACGCCGTGTACCGCGAGCTCCTGGAGCTGAACGGGCGGCACGCCGACATGCGGGCAGGCGTCCCGAAGAGCGTGCGGGGGGTGCGGGGATCGGCCGGCGCTTTGGCGTCTGTAGCATCCTGGCGGCACCCGCAAGGGGGCTGGCGCGAGAGACGCGGCCGTCTGAGACTGACGAAGGGCCCAGGGACCTCCAACAGCCTTCTCGGAGGCCGGCAGGCCCTTCTAAGGCTTGGCATCGCTCGGACGTGTGCATTCGTTCTCGGCGAGAACCATCGGGGAGCCTCCTGGATCACCCTGCGAAAGAGTAAACGCACGAAGCCGAAACATGCACGGGGAGTGGCGATCGTTTTCTTGTGCATTCATTGTCTTGCCCATCGGCGCGGGCCCTCGCACCCCCTCCCCCCCCATGGAGTAGATCTTGGCTGTTTTTGGCACCTGTTTCACGCAGGTGGTACCCCCCATCGGACGCACTGTTGCAAACGGTCGCGCTAAGCAGAGGTCTGGAGCGGTGTCCCGCGGTGTCCCCTGATGTCCCGTGGCGGACCGTGGTGGCCGCCGTTGCTAGGGCGAAGTCAAGACAAATGATTCGCTCCGTCCGTCCGTCCGGCGGTGGCCCTAGCGGTGTCGAGGGGTGTCCCGTGGTGTCCGCCGTTGCTAGGGCGAAGTCAAGACAAATGATTCTCCCCCGTTCGTCCGTCCGTCCGTCTGGCGGTGGCTCGCGGTGTCCCGCGGTGTCCCGCGGTGTCCCGTGGTGTCCCGTGGTGTCCCGCTGAGTGAGATCGATAGTGAGATCGATAGTGAGATCGATGTGGTGCCCCGAGGTGTCCCGCGGTGTCCCGTGGTGTCCCAAAAAGCGAGATCGATAGTGAGATCGATAGTGAGATCGACAGGTGTCCCGTGGTGTCCCGTAGTGTCCCGTTGAGTTAGATCGATCGTGAGATCGAGAGGTGCCCCGCGGTGTCCCGTGGTTTCCCGTGGCGGCCCGTGGTGTCCCGTGGTGTCCCGTTGGGTGAGATCGATAGTGAGATCGAGATTGAGATCGACAAGTGTCCCGTGGTGTCCCGTGGTGTCCCGTTGAGTGAGATCGGTAGTGAGATCGATTGAGTCAGATGTTGGTTCCCCCGCCTCTCCCCCCCTCCACAACCTCCTTGTCACCCGAAGGTTGGTCTTATAGATCAGTATGCCCTTGCTTCGACCCGGAAGCCCAGTGCTTGTTCAGCGGTGGCACGCTGATCAGGAGCGAAAGAAGACGTACACGTACATGAATCCACGATGGCTTCGAGAGTACGCATTGCGCGAACGTTCGTATCACGCGGCCGGTCTCGCGGATTGGGGCGCCGTGTTCATGTACATGATTGGGCGCCAACGTCCATTGTGGGCTCCCTAGCTGATGGGTTCCCCACGATGGCGTGTCACTGATATTCGAGTTGCTCTGCCATGCCTCTGTCGCGGGATGCATCTCGGTTGGGCCTGCCGGCCAGGAGGCGGCAGGAGCAGTACAAGCGGCAGGGAGGGAAGAGGATGTTCACGCTTCGGTCGGTTCGGCCGCGTCGCAGTCGGTTGCGTTCGGTCGGTTCGGTTCTGTCGATTGTTGCGTCGTCGTTGCGTCGTTGCGTGTTTCTCAGCTTCGAGCGTTCGGTTCGGTTACGGTCGGTTTCGGTTTCGTTGTCAGCTCCGTCGGTCTTCGGTGTTGGTGCAGCCGTGCGTGGCCTTATAAAGAGGCGCAATGAGGATCGAGGCTCTGGGTTCTGCGACTCTGGTGAGCCTTTTCTGGACGTCCGGAGGCCCACGGAGACCTCCCGAGGCTGAGGAGACCGAGGAGGAGACGGAAGGGAGCAGCGAGAGGCAGGGAAGCGACACGATGCGAAGCCCAGTCCTCGAAGCAGAAACACCAGCACACACGCACACACACACACACACACACACACACACACACACACACGCAGCACGCACGCACGCACGCACGCACGCACGCACGCACGCACGCACGCACGCACGCACGCACGCACGCACGCACGCACGCACGCACGCACGCACGCACGCACGCACGCACGCACGCACACACACACACACACACACACACACACACACACACACACACGCACGCACGCACGCACGCACGCACGCACGCACGCACGCACGCGCGCGCCTGGGCCCGGAGGCCGGGGCGCCGGAAGCCGCCCCCCCCCACTATACCCGCGGGGAGCCCCGTGCCAGAGGCGCGGGGCGCCCGATCGGCCTGCCGCCGCCGCCGCGGCCGCAGCCGCGGCGGGCGGCCCTCGGGGCCTCGCCGCGCCCGCTGGCGGGCGAGCGGCGGCGGTGGCCATGTGGTCGCAACCTGCCGGCCTGCTGCCCAGGGCCACGATCCCTCGGAGCACCTGCTCGTGGTCCGCGGCCTCGGAGCGCCCCGCGGCCGCGGGGCGGCCGCAGCCTCGGCCGCGGCCTCGGCCGCGTCGTGGTCCGCGGCCTCGCGGGCGCCCCGCGTCCGCGGCCTCGGCCGCAGCCTCCTCGGGTCGGCCGCGGCCTGGCCGCTGCCGTCGGCGCGCGCCGCCGCGCGCGGCCGCCCCCCCCGGGCCGCTGCGCCCGTTCGCGCTGCAGCTGCGCCACCCGCGGTGGGCCCACAGCCCGGCCGGGCGTGGCTCGTCGCCGCGCGTGGGCCCGAGCCTGCGGGGGCTGCGCGTGCGCGGTCTGTCCCTGCCCGCGGGGGCCGAGCGGCTGCCCCGCTGCCACGCCCTTTCGGGAGACTGCCGGTAGGATGGCTTCCCCGAGAAAGGTGTAGGTCAGAGGCAGCATCGGCGAGGGATGGGTTCCCGAGGGGACGCGTCGACCCCCAATCGTCCAGTCGTCGCCGATGGCCAGGTGCCTGATAGTCCAACCCCGCCCAGGAACATGCGTCTTCTTCGTCGGGGGGTTGTCGCCGATCTGTCGGGGGCGCACGGCGATTCCAGCTTGACGCGTCCCCCTCTGAGCTGACTTCTCCTGGTCGCTGCCCCCAGCCAGGGACGACACACCTCCCCGCAATGGTGAGTGGCCGGCTCTTGCCCCGAGCGCGGCAGTGCTGCCGGGGCCGCGGGGCCCACCTGGCTTGCGGCGAGCAGGCGATGGCTCGAGAAGGGCGGAGGCGGTTCTTCAGAAGGCCATGTGCCTCCTAACCCCCCCCCCGGGGCCCCCGCATCCCGTGGTCCGAGTAGATGGGGTCGGAGGATTTTGCCGCATTGCCGATGCATCGGCGATGCGGCTCGAGGTGGGGCCCATTCTCCACGCCGACGTCGCCGATGCATCGCCGACGCCGCCAGCGCATCGCCGATGCATCGCCGATGCATTGGCGATGCGGCGAGATCCTCCGACCCCATCTACTCGGACCCCATCTAGGAGGCGTCTGCATCCCCAGAACGGCCGGCCCCCGTCCCCTGTTTCCATGCGCCGCCAGACAGGGGCAGAGACATGGCCGCCGAGGACGGCCCCGAGAGCGCCCCAGGTGGGCGGCCGAGGGCGCCCGGGCGATCATGGAGTGTCGTCCGCTTTGTTCCAGGAGGGGAAAAGACACACAGACACAATGAATCCAAATAATATGGGAAGTGGGGGGAAGAAAGGAATCCAAATAATATGGGAAAATATGGGGAATCCTTTTATTTGTGTGTATTAATTTGTGTGTGTCCCAGGGCCCCTTTATTATTGTTCCTTGGATTGTGTTGCAGAGAGCGCTTCAGTTGTGCTTAGCTTGCTGGTCTCTGTAAGTTTGGCAAGCACCCCGCTGCCACGGCAATCCTGCATCCCAGGAGGCTCAGAAAAGGCGCCCGCCCACCCAGACAAATATGCTTCCGACGCTTTGGACGATGGTACGCACTCTTGTGGTAGAACGTTATACGCAGCGCTCTGGTGTCATGGTGCATCGCAGGTATTATGAGGCGTTGCGGCCGACGGAAAAATGGAAACGGATGAGGCGGAGGAGGTTGGAGAAGGTTGGAAGACGGAGGAGGAGAAAGTTGAAGAAGGAGCGGCAGGATGAGGAAGATACGAAACTTGCGCCCCCCAAGGTTGCAACGTCGTCGTCACCGACACGTTCCGCTGCCATCAGAGGGACCAGAGAGGCGTCCAGGATTCCTCCTTCCGTTCACGCCTCCTCCCTCCTGTCCTGCTCATCCTCTGTGTGCCTGCAGATGTGGGTACCTGTGCTGGTCAGATGTCCAGAGGTCGTGGAGCAGACTGCTCCAGGGATCCGAATCCCAATCGAGCTGCGCACTTGTCCAGAGTCGCCACTGGGCAGTGGCCCAGGTCTCGGAGTCGGGCCGAGCTCGCCCGTCGGGGTGTTCTCCGTCTCTCGGGATTCGCGGCGCGACTGGCCCCGCTCCCTCGCTCCTTCGTTTTCGTCCTGCCCCCGCCTCCCCCCAGAGCGCCTCGCTCTGCGTGGAGGTACAGTCGGGGCCCTGAAGAAGGAACCCTTTTCGTTGGGGAGGGGCTCCGCGTTCCTTAAGTGTTTCACAGCTTGCCTCAGGTTGTCCTTATGTTTTCGATAGCAAATCGAAGGTTAACTTAACGGAAACAGGGGCCTCGTTCCTTATTTAGGGTTCCTTAGGTCAACGCCCCGACTGTATTCTCCTGGGGTGGGCGCCCCTCGGGCTCGCCTCCAGGCTCGCGAGGCTGGGGCCGCATCGCGCGTGAGCCGGGCGCCTCGCTCGGGCCCCCAAGGCGTCGCAGGGGGGGCGCTCTGGGCCAACATGTTGTCGTCGAGAGCCCACGCTCGACCTTCACCACCCACCAAACCACCCCAATCCCAACCCGAGGCTCAGATTTACCCTCGATTTCCAGTGGGGGGGGGGGCGGGAAACATAGAAAAAACACGCGTGGAACCCTAACCCCCCCCCCCAACCCGAAATTCGAGTCTTCGGGTTGGGTTGGGGTGGTCTGGTAGGTAGTCAGACCTGGTCTGGGCTCATGGCCTTGGAGTGAGCAAGCTTGCACAGTCTCGTCCGCAGGGGTGCCTCCCTTCTTGTGCAGCCCTGGAGCGCGCAGTGCTGGGCCCCGCCCTCTCAGAGCAGCGGCCCCGCGCGGAGTTGTTGCATCGGCGCTTGTGGCGCCGCCCCTGGCGCGCTCCGCGCGCCGGGGAGAGGGGTCTAGCGCCGATCCAAGAGATTCGCGCGGAGCTCCGGAAGAATCTGTTTGTGCAGCTGCTTCTTCCCATCCACATCCTCTCTCTATTCCTCCCTACGTATGGATGCCAAGCATGGGTCCTCCTCCTGTCCCTACCCTCCCCGAAGGCCTGGCGAGGTGATACTGAGTCTCTCTTCTTTCTGGAGCAATCCGCAGCCACGGACCTAAACCCTTGGCTAATCGGTTCGGTTGTTGGTTGTGTTGTTTTCCCTTTCTTAGCTCATGACACACCTCCTGTTGTGCCGTGCGCGAGCCATTCATGTGCAGCGTGTGCCCTCCTGGCTGTCCTGGCGCCCGTCACCGCATATCGTATGCCGTCCCAGACTACTCTGCTCAGCTGCGCGCATCTTTCGCTGACAGCCTTGGTAAAGCTTCGTGTTGCGCACGGTCGCCACCCCCAGGAAGTCTCGGCTGGCCTCAACTGCGCCCTGAGTAGTCCAAAGTTGGCCTCAACAGGCCAGACGAGAAATTCCGTAGCCATGTTGGTTCATGCCATGTTGGTTCACAGCACTTGGCTCAAGATGTTGCGTGTTGTGTGGGCCGTTGTGTGAAGCGCCAAAACATAGTCAAAGCATTGCCACTGCCAGTGTCAGTTACATCTCCGTCCGCGTCCGAGCGCAGCTGCACGAGTTTCTTCACAATCACGCTGAGGGTCCGATTTTGGTCAAAGGGTTCTGTGATAACCTACGTTATACCGCAGTGTTGTATATGTGTTGCTTACTCGGTTGGACTCGTCGCGCTGCATGAAAAGGGTCATTTGAACGGCCTGGACGATGTCAACATCGAGTTGACGTCTCTAATGTTCTTGCTCGCCGTCCTCATTGTTTTCAAGACACAGACGGCATACAACCAATTCTGGACAGCCACGAATGCCTACTACCAGGCGTACCAGGGCTCTGTGCCTTGGCTCGGAGAGCGTGTGTCTTTGGAACTGGAAGAAAACAAAGACCTATATGTGCGGAGGACGTTCCGCTATGAGGTGTTGCTGTTGCGGGTCACGCGTGCGTATTTGGCGAGTTCTGGGACAACTGGTCAGTTTTGTAAAAGCCAATGTGTGGAGGTTACGGAAACAAAAATCCAGCACATGTGCACAGAGGCAGAGTTCGTTCTAATCGAGAGCAGGCCAGCAGAGAACCATTCGGACATCGTATTGCATTGGATATTTGCGTTGGTCAAGGTTCTGGAAATCGATCATCCAGCCACACCGGGTATCGTAGCACAAATCGAGAAGAGTATGGAGGACATGGAGATGATTGACAAGGAGCAGTCCCCATGTCCCTACTACCAGCTCGTAGTTGCTCTCATGCTCCTCTTCGTGACCCTCCTTCCCATCTCACTGACCGCATCGTGTGGCGCATTCGTGCCACTTGTTGAGCTGGCTGTATGCATCGGGCTTTTCGGGCTCAGCGAGGTCGCAGAGTGTCTCGAGGCCCCGTTCGGCGCCGATCCGACCGACTACGACGTCGACCACCTTGCGGAGGAGCTGGAGCAGCATTGTCGCCATACCCTGCAAGATTACGGCCGGCTGCCCGCGCCTGCCGAGGACACCGCGCTGGACGAGACATGGCTACGGAGGGGCCGAGTCGAGTCTGCCGCCGCCCCGACGGCGACTGCAGTAGGAAGGCACTCGGCACGCGGGCTGGGCTCGGAATGCATTGAAGGGGGCGCAATCGAAAAACTTCGGGAGGGAAAAAACACACAGACATAATGAATCGTCGACTCCCAGGAAAGTATGGGAAAACATGGGAATTGGGCGGGAAGACAAAAACCCAGAAGATATGGAAAAATATGGGGAACCATTTTATTTGTGTGTATTGATTTGTGTGTCCTTGGGCCCCTTGAAAAAAGGCCCGCCGAGAAGTCCGGGGCGTGCTCAACACTTCACCACCTGGGGCGCCGGGCGCCCCAGGGGCGCCCCGGAGGCCGGGCCAGGGCGTTGAGACCGCCCCTGACCACTCGCGGGGGGAGGGGGTTTCGGGGCTCAAGAGGCCGGGGTCAATGCAAACGGGGGTCAGCCAGGGCACCGGATCCTGCAGGATCCTGCGAAGACCCCCTCTCGCTGACCCGGGTTAGCGAGCCGCTGGTGGCCGCGAGGCGGCCGCGCATATTGGCTGACCCGGCTTTGCGAAGTTCAGCGTTGCAGTTTTTTTTCCGGCATTTCAGTTTTTGGTTTCCTGCTGACCCGGGTCTGGATTGACCCGGGTCAGAAGGTCCCCGAGGGTTCTCGGTGGGGGGCCAGGGGGACTGCGTGGGGGGGCAGTCTGCGCGCAACCCAGAGCCTTACGATCGCTGGCCGGCTCCGCGCTTCATCGGCCCTGGCTCGGAGGGGCCTAGAATCGAGGTAAATCCGTTCCAGAGCGTTGCGGCACTCTCTCAGAGCGTTCTGGCACGCTTTGAAACGCCCGCGACGCCCGATACATCCCAACCCGCCGATTCTCAGAGATATCCACTTTATATCGGTCCGATCGTGTTTCGATTCTCTGCTTTCGTCTTACCTGCAATGCGAAGCAAACCCCTGCAGGGCTCCATCGGGCTCCTGCCCAGCCAGTGGGAGGACGGCCTGGGGCCCGGCCGGGGCGTCAAGGAGGTCAACTCGCACAACTTGAGGCCATGCGTGGGGGATGCGGGCAGCGCCGAGAGGGGCCAACACCTCCTAGCTTAGCTGAATCTCAGGCGATTGCAAACATGGATCAAGGGGGCGTGGATTAGCGGCGGGTCCCGTTTCAATGAGACATCGCGGATTTACGCCGCCGAACGAGGCGCACCAGCTGCATTTTGGGGAGGGCACCTCCCCGGATCCATGGACTTGGCGACCGCGCGCCAAATCCATGGATCGCTAATCCATGTTTGCGCGCCCCCGAGACTCGATACGCCCGTTTTGAAACGCAGCACGTACCGTGCTCAAAACGTCCAACGTTGGCTCAACGTGTTGGCTCAGTGTGTTGGCACACGTTTTGGCGAACGCATCGTGTCAGCTCTAAGTGTTCAGTCTACGTGTCGAGCTCCGTATCAAAACGCTACGTGTTGCGTGTTGCGTATCGGGGCATCTAAGCCCGTTATCGTTTAACAGACGTATCCCCATCCCCATCCCCATCCAGACCACTGCCATCTCAGTACCCCAGTTCGGGATATACCCTACGAAGCCCGAAGGAAACAGCCGAAATCCCCATCAAGGGGGTGAATCGGCCAGTGGGCCCAAGGCCACGCCCATGGGGACAGGGGACGGTTAAACGATTCTCAACTTCCCCACCCCCAGATCATTCCCCAGACATGCGATGTCCTGATGCTTTCAGCACGGGGTCCCCAGAAGTCCCGACCACTTTCCTGGGACCGGTTTTTCGTCTTGGGTAGTTTTTATGGTCCCAGGGCCCGGCGAGGGCCCCAGAAGGACGAAGACGACTAACGAACATCCGTCCTGGGTTCTGCAGGGCACGAGCATGTCTGAGCGGGTACCAGAGATTGGCAGCGACCGATGGGCACTCCAAATCGGTCGCGACCGGTCGCGACCGATTCCAAGATCGGTCGCGACCGATCCCGAAGCAAACAGGTCGCGGCCGATGCCGGAACTTGAAGCGACATCGGAAGGGAGCCAAGTCGTCGGCCGCGACCAGAACCAAAGTCTGGCATCCAATGATCAGGGGGGGGGCTCCACTCCCTCCCCAGACCACCTCGCGTCGTGAGAGAAACAGCGGCGGGAGATTGTTTGGTATGTTCGGCCTCCTTGATCTTGGATGTCTGGTATGCCTGGATGGTTGTTGCTTGGTCTTTGGTATCTTTAGATGCTGGTCTGCTTGTTTTGCTTGGTTTGTTTGTGATGCTTGTGTCGTGGTGTGTTTATGTCAGAAAAAACCGGACGGCGGATGTTCGCAGTTTCCTGCCTTCGGGGGGCCCCTCCCAGGCTCCCGGGCCGCCACACAAAGACTCGGGATCGGAAGCCAGCCCTGGAGAATGGGTCCCCAGGCCTCCGGGGGTCGACGCCGCGGAAAAGTCACGACGTCGGTGGTCTGGGCGGCCCCCACTTCCCAGGGCCCACTTCGACCCGATCCAGCCGCTGCGACATCGATCCCGCCCTGCCCGCTTCGACTCGATGCCGACATGCCGGCGGTCCGATGCGGCCCGATGCTTTTGCACGGCGTCGTGGCGCAGTGCGGCGCGGCCGCTCCGCTGCGACCCCCGTGCCGATGCGGACCGATTCGATGCACGCGCCGAGCTGGCACGATCTCCCGACGCGACGCTGGCTGATCCCACCTCCTGGGAGCAGAGGGTCGAGGAGGAGGGGAGATCGAGCCTCGAGGAGGTTCTGCACGCACCTGGGCGACGTTGGAAGCCCCCTGGGGGTCTAGGGCCCGTGCCCTGGAGGCGGTGGTGGCGACCCCCCCTCAGTGTTAAGTCGGGCCTGTCCCTCTACAGCAGGAATATTCAAAAATACTAAAAAAGTAGTCTGGGGACGATGTTTTGATTTTTTTGGCTATCTCGGAATATGTTTTGAGTATTTTTATTTTTGCGCCCAAAATCAGCCTGTAGGGGGACACGCCCGACCTAACCTTAGTGGTGACCCCCCTTGCATTGTACGGGGAGCCAGCTCTGCCCGAGGGTTAACGTTCGTTCGGGCGTCGCCAGAAGTGTCCCTGGCCCCAGGGTGACTACGCTTAAGTCGGGCACATCCCTCTACAGGAGGACAATTCCAAAATAGTAAACAAATTGCCTGTGACGATGTTTTGAGTACGTTTTGTTTTGCAAGTGTTGCAGATGTTTGGAGCATTTTCCCTTTATCGTCCAAAATCCCCCTGTAGGGGGGACACGCCCGACCTAACCTTCGCTGTGACCCCCCTCTTGGCATTGTGTACGGGGAGCCAGCTCTGCCCGCGGGTTGACGTTCGGTCGGGCGTCGCCAGAAGTGCCCCCGGCCTCAAGGTGGCCACCCCCAGGATTGCCACGGGGGCCCCCACGGCCCCCTTGGAGCAGCCCTCGCGAGGCCCAGGGGGGCCCCAGGGGCTCCAAGCGGACCGACAAGCTGGGGGCACATTGGGCCGGGGGCACCTTCCGCAAGCCCCGATGCGGGGCAATCACTGCTCGAGGCGGAAGCCATCGGCTGGACTGCCGATGCGGGCAGTCCCATGTCGCATGTCGCGGCTTTGACCCTCCAGGCGATGGCTCGCTCGTAGGAAGATTGTCGCGAGGTCGCCTTGACCCCGAAAGCTGGCCCGCTCGCAGTGCTGATTCCCGCAGGAAGCTGTACCCGAGTCGGGAGATCAAGGTCGGCTCTACCGTGGTTGTCAACGAGTCGTTCAGCTGCGAAGACCCCGCGTCAGACGTCCCCGTCCGATTCCACAAGGGCCTCCACGGGGTCGTGCAGAAGTTCAACGCGCGCGGGCACGCGCTCGTCTCCTGGGAGGGGGGAGCCGACGACGCATGGATTCCCAAGACCGTCTTCCCTTGCTTGATGCATCCGGCTTGTCGCCTTCCGCTCAAGACCCCACAAGCACAAACGAGACCGACGACGATTGCGGCGGCGGCAGCGGCGGCGGCGACGACGATTTTCTGGAGGTCTACGGAAGCCCCTGGAGATTCCCAGGAGGATTCATGAGAGCAGCTGCCGTTGCCGCTGCAGAGCATCCTGTGCAGCAGCGCAGGAGGCTGCGAAAGGGCGCGAGGACCGAGCCGCGACCGTGCGCCAACGCAGACGGCAAAGACAGCCCAGACGGCCAAGACGGCCCAGCACTCCTCCTCCTCCTCCTCCTCCTCCTCCTCCTCCTCCTCCTCGTCCTCTTCCTCCTCCTCCTCCTCCTCCGTCTCATTCTCCTCCTCCTCCCCCACTCCTCCTCCCCTCCTCATCCCCCTTCTCCTCCTCCTCCCTCCTGCTCCTCCTGCCCCTCCTGCCCCTCCTGCTCCTCCTCCTGCTCCTCATCTCCTCTCCTCCTCCTCCTCCTCCTCCTCCTCCTCCTCCTCCTCCTCCTCCCCCTCTCCATCCCTCCCTCCATTCCTCCTCCCTCCTCCTCCCTCTCTCCCGCCTACTCCCCCTCCCTCCCTCCCTCCCTCCTCCTCCTCCTCCGCCTCCTCCGCCTCCGCCTCCGCCTCGTCGTCGTCGTCATCCTCATCCTCCTGCTCATCCCTCCCTCCTCCTCCTCCTCCTCCTCCTCCTCCTCCTCCTCCTCCTCCTCCTCCTCCTCCGTCTCCTCCTCCGTCTCCTCCTCCTCCTCCTCCTTGAGTGGCGTGGGATCCTCCCTCCTCCTCCTCCTTCTCCTCCTTCTCCTCCTCCTACCTCCCCTCAGCCGCCGCCCCCCGCGGTGCTGCTCCTGCCTCCCCTCCTATCTGTCTGGCCCCCATGGGCCCCCAGGCATAGCAGAAAACCGAACCCCCGACACAAACCGAATCCAGAGTTTCTCTGATAGGGGGAACTGTTTTCCGAGCAACCAGACCGATTTTGGCGGAGCAATCACATCGCATCGTGTAGGCCATTGGCCGGCGGCTTGTCATGGAAATGAACGTCGGCTGCTGGGTGGTCCTCAACGACACGATACCATACAGATACCCGCAGAAGTGTGAGGAGGATTGCCAGCTACCGCAGGGGACGCATGGCATTGTGGTGATGGTGAGTGCCGACGGAGACGCCTGCATCCACTCGAAGCAGACAGGGAACGTCTGGGTATTGAAGAAGCATTGCTCCCGGCTGGCCGTCACGCACATCAAAAGGCAGAACTCGCGTCCCCAGAGCGCCATGGGCAAGCAGCGTCGGCAGCAAGGCCAGCAATGGAGCACCTTGCAGCGGCACATCCAGGACGAATTGCAGGTCGGCTCAGTTTTCGAAGATGTAGATGCGGACCTGACGAGGGAGCAGTTCGCGTCGATCGTTGCCCAGGAGACCTGGGTGCGGAGGGGGGTCCATAGGTCTTTGAGCCTGGGGAAAGGATGAGCAGGGCGCAGGAGGAGGCGAGAGGAGGGGGGCGGTGGAGAATGAGGGAGGATCATGCAGAGGTGGGCGAGAGAGAGAGAGAGAGAAAGAAATAAAGAAAGAAAGAGAAAGAGAGAGAGGGAGGGAGGAAGGAAGGGGGAGGGAGGGAGAGAGAGAAAGAGAGAGTCAAGGATATGTAGAGGTATGTCTACAGAAAGAGAGACATCTATACGAGAGAGAGGGAGTGCTTAAATGAGGGGGAGAGAGAGAGAGAGAGTGACAACACACATACTTATAGAGTGAGCATCTATACAGAGAAGACGGGGGGGGGAGAGAGAGAGAGAGAGAGAGAGAAAGAGAGAGACAGAACAAAGAGAGAGAGAGAGAGAGAAAGAGAGAGGGAGATAGAGACAGAGAGTCTTAGAGAGAGAGAGAGAGAGAGCGAGAGAGAGAGAGGCAGAGATAGAGGGAGAATATACGTATGGAGGTTGACAGGGAGCACATCGAGAGAGAGGCAGTGAGGGAATAGAGAGAGAGAGAGATAGAGATATAGCCCCGCAATATAACGAGAGAGAGGCAGCGAGAGAAGTGTGGGAGAGCGAGGTAGAAGTGGCGAGAGGATTAATACATATATATATATGTGTGTGTATGTATTACTATATACATACATATACCAATGCATAAAGAAGGGGAAGGTGATCTATAAAGAGAGAGAGAGAGAGAGATGGGAGGAAGGTAGGGGTGAAGGATGTTTTTTTCTGGACCAACCGCCGAACCCACACCTGTATACACCGTTCCCCATTGTAGACATCCTGAGCTGCCGACTTGGGGAGGCTGAGCCACAAAAGCAGTTCGCGAGTGGGAGCCATTTCCTGGCGGCCCCATGCCGCGTGTGACGGCCACGTGGATAGAAGGACACGTGCGAGTGTGTTATCTCTTGGGCCGTTGGTCAGAACATTTGTATATGCCTGACTAGCGCCTCGAACTTGACCATCAGGTGTATCATGACAGCTCCTGGCGCACATGATGAGTAGGCCTTCGTGGTAATTGGTATCGAACACGAGAGGCCAGTGCCCTAGGCCTCATAACGTTTGGCCCGCGATATCTCAGACGGGAGGGAGGAAGAGAGGACGGAGGAAGGACGGACCGAGAGGACGGAGGGAGAGAGGGAGGACAGAGGGAGGGAGGGAGGACGAAGGGGGGGACGGAGGACGGAGGGAGGGAGGGAGGACGGAGGGACAGGGAGGAGGGAGGACGGACGGAGAGGACGGACGGAGAATACGGAGGGAGGACGGAGAGGTGACGGAGGGAGGACGGAGAGGTGACGGAGGGAGGGAGGGAAGGAGGGAGGGAGGAAGGCGGAAGGGAGGACGGAGGGAGCACGGAGGGGGGAAGGGAGGGCGGGCGGGAGGGAGGGCGGGACCCGCTCCTCAGACGGCAGTGCTTGTGTTCTCGGCATGTGCCCCTCCAGGGGTCCTTTCTTCTTCTTCTTCTTCTTCTTCTTCTTCTTCTTCTTTTTGTTTCTCTTGGGCAGGCCAGAAGGCGAGCAAGTGCACCGGCAGCGTCCGTGGCGCCTGCTCCCGGCAGGCGGGCACGAGCCGGGCGCCCCGAGCTCGGCCTCCGGCACGGAGCGTGAGCGCGTTTTGGCAGGCAGGCGGCCCCCCGCAGGGCTCTCGAGCTCTTCCCTCCCGGGGGGCAGGCGCTGCCCTCCGGGTCCATGCAAGCGGGGGGTCGGTCAGCGCGCCAGGTCCTGCAGGACCCTGCAGGGCCAGGGTCGCATTGACCTTGGGCTTGGGGGTGCAGGATCCGGCAGGATCTTGCAGGACCCTTCTTCGCGTTGACCCGGGCTTGGGTGCAGGATCTCGCAGGATTCTGCAAGGCCTGACTGACCCGGGTTGGACTGGCCCGGGTCAGGAGATCCCCGACTGGGGTGTTTCTGACGGCCCCGGGGCCTGGAGGCGGCCCCCGGAGGCCGAAAAAGCCACGAAAATTCGGAGGTCGTCCTGGTTTTGCGCCGCCGGGATCTGATGGGAGGAGGGCCTCTTCGGGCGGGGCAGGGGCCGGGAGATGCCTCGCTCCAGAGCGTCTCGGAACGATCTCGGAGCGATCTGGAGCGGCCAGTGCCCGAGACACCCTTCCTGACCGCCGTACCTCAACGATCCCCGACCTGTGCGGGTCCGATTTCGGCCCTCTGCGGGTTCCCTCTCACCTCACCTGGGCGCGAATCAGTGGGGGAGCGATAGAGGGGGGGGCAGCGAGAGCTGCAGAAAAGAAGGAGCCCTTCAGGGCCCCATACAGGGGCCCTTTCGGGCCCAGGCAGGCGGGGGCCTTCAGGGTACGCGAAGGACTCGTTCCCCCCCTCCAAATCTACCGCCTCCCAACTAATTCACGCCCGAGCTTGTCCGGGTCCGAGTTCGTCCCGGTCCTGGTTCCAGACCCCCGACGCCCCGATGTGTTTACAACGTCGACCCCCAGAGATTTGGACCTTTGCCCGGGGACCAGTTTTTCATCCTGAGTCGTTTTTCGACCGTCCCGAGGCCCAGCGAGGGCCTCCAGAGGCCGAAAATAGCGAAAAACTTCCCGCCGTGATTTTTTCACAACGCAAGGGGGTCCAGGGTTCCCTCTCACCTCGCGAGGGAGCAGCTCGCGTCGGCCGCTGCCCAGGAGATCTGGGTGGGCTGCACAGTTGTCGCGGGCTCGGTGCCTCCTTGCCCATGCGATCGGCGACCACCCCGCCACGGTGATCGGGGGATCGCGCGACCCCGAACATCCCTCCTCCTCCTCCGCCTCCGCCTCCTCCTCCTTCTCCTTTGATGCTGGGCTCTTCCTCCTCCTCCTCCGCCTCCTCCTCCTCCTCCTCCTCATCCCTCTCCTCCTCCTCTCCTCCTCCTCCTCCTCCTCCTCCTCCTCCTCCTCCTCCTCCTCCTCCTCCTCCTCCTCCTCCTCCTCCTCCTCCTCCTCTTGGCATCGCTCGGACGTGCATTTTCTCGACGAGATCCATGGAGGAGCACCGTGGATCATCTTGCGGTTCAAAACTCACAGGTCGAGACATGCACGGGGAACGGACGCCCGAGCGATGGCACGTCATCCCCCTTTTCTCGCCCTCCCTTCCTCCCCTCCCCCGTCTCCTCCTCCTCCTCCTCCTCCTCCTCCCCTCCTCCTCCTCCTCTCCTCCCCTCCTCCCCCTCCTCCTCCTCCTCCTCTCCTCTCTCCTCCTCCTCCTCCTCCTCCTCCTCCTCCTCCCCCTCCTCCTCCTCCCTTCCTCCCTCGATCCCGACTCCGTGCCGAGGCAGCCTGATCCGATGTGGGCTCGGATCGGGCCCGAGTTCGCGATTCGACATGCGGGCTGTTCCTGCTGTCTTGGGGACATCTGTCCTTCACGGCGGAGACGTCTGCAGCTGGCACGGGGGGGTGAGAGCTACATGTTTGCAGGTTGCGTTTCGCCCCCTAAGCCAGCTTCTCCGAGAAAAATCAAGCCGCTCAGAAACGGACGGAAACTCGGGGATACACCTTCAGGGGGTTATTCGGACGCACCTCTATCGAGGATGGACGCCCCCCTAGTTCTCGTGTATCCCCGATTTGAGCCCCAAGTTTCAGGTCCATCCGATAATACCACGGAGTCTGGGATAGGGGTCGACACATCCCTTGTTCGATATCAATACGTTCTTCGTGTGAGGGCTCCCCACCTTGTAGTGTTTTCGTTTGGGGGCATCTCCATGTGGCATTTGGGCCTTCAGCGAAGGCTCGGGAACTCAATCCACGTTCGCGTGGCCGTGTGTTTAGCTGCGTCATATAAATCTTCGTCCGCTGATCTCGGGCACCTCTTTGGAACTTTGGCATGTGAAGGATCCCTGGGAGGGTGACGGCGTCTCTGCGAGGGATCCAGAGATCGGCCGCGCACTCAGGTTGTGCGCGAGGCCATCCCCTACCTCTACCCGGAGAAGCCGCAACCGGATTGTCAATTGCACCGCGGGTTGGAAGGCGTTCCCCGTTCGATTGTGGGATGCAAGAGTGTTTCCCATCATCAATGTTCCTCTTGCTTTTGTTCGACCTCGTCCTCCTCCTCCTCCTTTTCCTATCTCCTGAGGTTCATCCTCGTCCTCCCATGAGGCGTTCCCTCATCGCTGCCACCCCTCTGCACGCATCCATTCAGACTGTGTAACACTCCACTCGGACTGAAGAGATCTTCAATGTATGCTTCCGTGAATGCGCGGGAGGAAAAGAAAGAAGAGGTCAGTTCTGTTGAGCCCTGTCAGTGCGAACCCAGTGGCTGGAGCCATACATATGTGATATCACTACTCAGCTTCTGCCGATTGCAGATATTGACTGGTGGGTTCGTGATCGGATGATGCACGCAAGAGTGATGTGTGACACGTGATTGCTGTTGTTGACACGAACGAATGTGCTCGTGTAGTTGCAGCATGCTGGAACATCTGGAGGCCAGCTTCAAAAGTGAAACGCATTGCCCGGGTGCGACACGTTCGGCCTTTGAGGATGCAGAGAAGGCGCATGTCCAATCGGAGGCGTGACTTGCTCTTGCTCTGTTACCTCGAGCATGGCGTCTGCGCCCCCCAAGGGATTGTGACGATGCTTGGGGATGACGGAGACATCTGCGTCGAGTGGGTCGGCACGGCTGCCACATGGGTGCTCCAGAGGCACATCACGCGCCTGCTCGTGGCGGACCACCTGCAGAAGGACTGTCCTACCGCGCCTGGCTCGTCGTCCGCATCCTCCCCCCCCGTCCCCTCTCCCATCCCCTCTCATCCCCCATCCCTCTGCCCCCACCTCCTCCCCTCCTCCTCATCCCGTCGCCCCATCTCATCTTCCTCCTCCTCCTCTTCTTCCTCCGCCTCCGCCTCCGCCTCCGCCCCCTTCATCCCATCTCATCCCTTCTTCGCCTCTGCCTCCGCCTCCGCCGCCTCGTCCCCTCACCGCAAGGGGGTCGAGGGCACAGTCAAGCGGATGCACCCGAGCGGGGACGCTTTCATCAGTTGGCACGGCGAGGGGGACAAGTGGATCCTGAAGGACTGTCTGGGCAAGAAGCGTTCGAGGAGTGGGAGCGACGGGAAGGGAAACGACGGTGGGAGGCCCTCAGATCCAGGCGACGCCAAGGCATCGCGACGGCTGGCCTTTCCTTATTCCCAACTAGTGTGCGGTGTTGGGTCTTTGTTCTGAAGACTGCGCCCCGCGTTCTCCTCCTCTCCTCGCCTCTCCTCCTCCCCTCCTCCCTCCCTGCCTCTGCTCTTCGCATTTCGCCATCATCATCGCCATCACCATCACCATCACCACCATCATCATCATCATCATCATCATCATCATCATCAGCATCATCATCAGCATCAGCATCAGCATCAGCATCATCATCACCACCATCATCGCGACATCATCATCATCATCATCATCATCATCATCATCATCATCATCATCATCATCATCATCATCATCATCATCAGCATCATCATCATCAGCAGCAGCATCATCAGCATCAGCATCAGCATCAGTATCATCATCATCATCATCATCATGCTCATCATCATCAGCAGCAGCATCATCATCATCGCCACCATCATCAGCAGCAGCATCATCACCACCACCATCATCATCATCGTCATCGCCACCTCCGTTTCGGCACACCCCTCACACGCTTCGTGACACCATGGGGAACTCCACACAAGGCCCCAGTGACACCGTCCGCATGTGGGCGTCACACCCGTTTCGGCACACCCCTCACACGCTCCGTGACCCCATAGGGAGCTCCAGCTAAGGCCCAAGTCGCACCGTCCGCATGAGGGCGTCACCCCTGTTTCGGCACACCCCTCACACGCTCCGTGACCCCATAGGGAGCTCCAGCTAAGGCCCAAGTCGCACCGTCCGCATGAGGGCGTCACCCCCATTCCGGCACACCCCTCACACGTTCCGTGGCCCCACAGAGATCCACCCAAGGCCCCAGAGTCCCCGTCCGCGTGTGGGTGTCACCCCCGTACCGGCACATCCTTCACACGTTTTGTGGCCCCATAGGGAGTTCCAGCTAAGGCCCCAGTGGCACCGTCCGCATGTGTGGGTCACTCCCGTTTCGGCATACCCCTCACACGCTTCGGCTCCACCCAAGGCCCCAGTGGCACCGCCCGCATGTGGGCGTCACCCCCGTTTCGGCACACCTCTCACACGCTTCGTGACCCTATAGGGAGCTCCAGCTAAGGCCCAAGTCGCACCGTCCGCGTGTGGGGGTCACCCCCGTTTCGGCACACCCTTCACACGTTCCGTGGCCCCATAGGGAGCTCCACACAAGGCCCCAGTGACACCGTCCGCATGAGGGCGTCACCCCCATTCCGGCACACCCTTCACACGTTCTGTTGCCCCACAGGGGGATCCAGCGAGTGTCCCAGTGGCACTGTCCGCGTGTGGGCGTCGCCCCCGTTTCGGCACCCCTCACACGTTGCGTGGCCCCATAAGGAGCTCCAGCTAAGGCCCCAGTGGCATCGTCCGCATGTGGGCGTCACCCCCGTTTCGGCACACCTTTCGCACGTTTTGTGGCTCCGCAGGGGGCTCCAGCTAAGGCCCCAGTGGCACCGTCCGCGTGTGGGCGTCACCCCCGTTTCGGCACACCTCTGGCAAGTTGCGTGGCCCTTATAGGGCCCCTATAGGGAGCCCCAGCTACGGCCCCAGTGGCACAGCCATCATGCGGGCGGTGCCCCATAAGGAGTTGCACCTAGGACGGTACTCACACTTGCGGTACCCACAACAGCATTTGGTTTGGTTCTTCGCCAAGCTCCGTGTTCCCAACCATCCTTTGGTGTTGGGTCACCGTTTTGAAAAGACAGCACCCTACGTCTCACTCCTCACTCCTCCTCCGCCCCCTCCTCCCTCCTCTCATCCCTGCCTCTGCTCCTCTCATGTCGTCATTACCATCATCATCATCATCATCATCATCATCATCAACAGCAGCAGCAGCAGCAGCGGCGGCGGCAGCAGCAGCATTATCATCATCATCAGCATCATCATCAGCATCATCATTGTCGTCGCCGCCGCCGTCGTCATCAACAGTATCTTCATCATCCGCATCATCACCATCAGCATCATCATCATCATCATCATCATCATCATCATCATCGGCATCACCGCCATCAGCATCATCATCATCATCCTCATCACCATTATCACCCTCATCATCACCACCATCATCATTAGCATAACCATCATCATCAACTTCATCATCATCATCATCATCATCATCATCATCATCATCATCATCATCATCATCATCATCATCATCATCATCATGAGCAGCATCATCATCATCATCACCATCGCCATCAGCATCATAACCAGACTCATCATCATAATCACCAGCATCACCATCAACATCATCATCAGCATCATAGCCATCATCACCATCACCACCATCATCAGCAGCAGCATCATCATCAGCAGCAGCACAGCAGCATCATCATCGCCATCGTAATCGTCATCGACACCCTGGTTTCGGCACACCCCTCACAAGCTTCGTGGCCCCAAAGGGAGCTCCAGCGAAGGCCGCAGTGGCACCGGTCGCATGTGGGCGTTACCCCCTTTTCGGCACACCCCTCGCACGTTTCGTGGCCCCACAGGGAGCTCCAGCTAAGGCCCCACTGGCACCGTTCGCATGTGGGTGTCAATCCCGTCTCTGCACCCCTCACACGATTCGTGGCCCCATAGGGGGCTCTACCCAAGGCCCCAATGGCACCGTGCGCATGTGGGTGTCAATCCCGTTTCGGCACACCCCTCACACTTTTCGTGGCCCCATAGGGAGCTGCAGCGAAGGCCCAGGTGGCACCGTTCGCATTAGGACGTCACCCCCGGTTTGGTACACCACTCAAACGCTTCGTGGCCCCATAGGGAGCTCCAGCTAAGGCCCCAGTGGCACTGTTCGCATGTGGGCGTCGCCCCCGTTTCTGCACACCCCGTACACGCTTCGTGGCCCCACAGGGAGCTCCGCCCAAGGCCCCAGTGGCCTTGTCCGCGTGAGGGCGTCACCCCCGTTTTGGCACACCCCTTACAAGTTACGTGCCCCCATAGGGAGCTTCAGCTAAGGCCCCAGCGACACCGTTCGCATGTGGGCGTCACTTCCGTTTCGGCACGCCCCACCGTTCGCATGCGGTCGACCCTTACGTTTCGGCACGCCCTTCACACAGTACCTGGCAGCACAGGGAGCTCCACCTAAGGCCCAGTGGCGCAGCCCGCATGTGGGTGACTCTCCTTTTTTCCAGCACCCACCTCACACGTTTCGTGGCCCCGAGGAGCTCCACCTACAGCCCCAGTGGCGCAGCCCGCATTTGGGCGACACTCCCGTTTCAGCACGCCCCTCAGACTTCTTTCCGTGGCTCCACAGGGAGCTCCACCGAAGGCCCCAGCGGCACAGCCCGCATACAGGGACTTCCACCTCCGATGGTACTCACACTTGCGGCACTCACAACTGCATATGGTTGGGTTCTTCGCCAGGCTAATTTGACCCTTGGAGGCCGTTTTCCGGGCCCCAGGGCCAGAAAACGGTTCGGGATGAAAAGCCGGGCCCCAAGAAGAGGTCGAGATCGGACGTGGCCAGGACGGGGTAAATCCGTTCCAGAGTGTTCCGGGACGCGCGCAGAGCGTTCCGGAACGCTCTGAGAAGACCGCGGCGCGCGAGACAACTTCCAGAGTCGCCGGCATTCAGGGATTCTCGCTGTATCCTCGCCCGATGTAATCCTCGTCCTGGCTTCGTTTTGCCCTCGACTCCCCAGACCCCCGACGTCGCGATTTTTGTCACAACGTCGACCCCAGAGGTCTGGACCCTTTGCCCAGGACTGGCTCTTCATCCCGAGTCGTGTTGTGACGGCCCCGAGGCCTGGTAAGGGCCCTCGGAGGCCGAAAAAGAGCGGAAGACCTCCCGACGTTCGTGTTTTTTCACAACGCGAGGGGGTCTGGGTCCGATCTCGATGTTGTCCTCGTCCTGGCTTCAAGTCGGGCGCGTCCCTTTCCAGGAGGAAAATTCGAAAACAGTCCAAACAATAGCCTGGGGACGACTTGTTGAGCATCCTTTGGCCATTCGGGGGGATGATTCGGTTATTTTATTTTTTTGTATCCAAAATTCCCCGGTGGGAGGACAGGCCCGACTTAGCCCGGGGCTTCGCCTCGTCGAGATCTACGGGGGCCCACGCCGCGGAAGGGGCGTGGCCGCCCCGCGGAGGAGCGTGCCGGGGTCACCGGCGGGGCTGCGAGAAGGGGCAGGAGGCAAGAGGGGGGAGGCTCGGGGAACGTTTGTCCCTCGACCTCCACCTGCTGCTCCTCCCGCGCGGCGGGCGCGCTGCGCCTCGCGAGCGCCGCCTGCGCCGCCGGAGGCCGCGGGAGGCCTCACCGCGGTGGCCTCTGCCGCGGGGAGGGGTATCGGAAGGCGTGGCATCGTTCGGGCGTGTGCATCTCTGTCCTTTCGGCGGGGGCCAGCGAGGAGCATCCTGGATCCCTTTGCGGAAGAGGGAGTAGGGGAACGACTACAGAACTGATTTACCCCAAGATTGATTTCCTCGTCGAATCTACCAGAAACAGCGCCGCACGTTCATGGATACGACGGGACATCCAGCCTTGGGGTAAGTCAGTTCTGTAGTCGATCCCCTGCTCGAAGATCGGGCCGGACGAAAGGGGGAGATTGGGAAAGGGGGGGTTACGAAATCTGCTGCATGCAGCTGGTTTCGGCCCCACCGAGGGGCCCATCCCTCGATCCATAGCCACCTCCGGCGCCGGGAGGCGCCCGGAAAATCAGCTACGTGAGCTGATTCTCAAGCCCTCCCTTTGCGATCCCCCCCTTTCGCCCGGCCCGAGAAGAGGGGGAGAAGGCACCCCTTCAGTGGGGCGGCGCATCAAACAACTGCTTTTCGTCAGGGTATCCTGGGTTTCTTCGCTCCGCGCGCCGCGCGGTGGCCTCCCTCAGCCGCGGAAGGAGCGGCTGCGTTCCGGGTGCTCCGGGCTTCCCCTCGGGAGCACCCCGCGCGCGGCTTTTCAGGGTTGGGTTTCTTGCGAGGGTTTCTTGTGGCCGCGGCGGCACCGTATACTCAAGCAGTGGCGGAGCGTCCCGGCTCGCCTATAGCCCCACCAAACAATGTTCTAGGAACATTTGGTGGTATGCACGAAATGTTCTTAGAACATTTCTGGTTAAGACTGTCTTGGTTTAGCACATCGGGCTAATGTTCTAAGAACATTGTTTTTGTGATTGGTTCTAAGAACACTTCGTGGTAGGACTATAGGAATGCCGGGACGGTCGGTCCCTGCTCAAGTATACCTCTGTACAGTCACACTCGGCGCCGACCCCTCGAGGGAGGGGAAGGAAGAGGAGGAGGAGGGACGAGTTTCTATCCCCCGCCAAAAGTTTAGGGGGGTGCATCATGAAAGACCCTCTGCGGTCACCTCTGTATAGGCACCCTCGGCCTCCGACCCCTCGAGGACCAGTTCTCGCACATCGCCGTGCGGGAGTCCCTGCTCGCGAGCCAGGCCCGGGCCCCCCCTTCTGCGGCCGCGCTCGCCGGGGGGCGGGCCGGGCCTCGGCCCCGCCTCCCCCTTGGGGTTATAAGCCGGGCCTGTCCCTCCACGGGAAGGAGATCCCAAAATTATATATATATATATATATATATATATATAATCGGGGGACGATGTGTTCTGATTCTTTGTTCGAGCATGCGTGGATCATCTTAGGGGTAGTTTTAAGCTTTCGCCCAAAATCCCCCTTGGGGTTATAAGTCGGGCCTGTCCCTCCACAGGAGGGATGTCTCAAAATTGTATGTATACATATATATATAGTCGGGGGACGATGTGTTTTGATTATTTGTTTGAGCATGCGTGGATCATTTTATGGTTGTTTTTAAGCTTTCGCCCCAAATCCCCCTGTAGGTAGGGGGACACTTGGATGGCCGCGGCGGTTGCTAAGTACTTAACATACTTACTACGCTAAGTTAAGTACTTAGTAAGTAGTTAGCGGACTTAGCTAAGTACTTACTCAGTCATTACTAAGTGGCCCACTTAGTAATGACTTAGTAAGTACTTAGCTATCCACTTATAACCAGTTAGCTAAGTGCTTAGCGCACTTAGCTAACCACTTATAACCGCTTATAGCTAGTTTGCTAAGTAGGTTATAAGTGACTTAGCGGTTACATTGCACTTGTTATCCAAGGGCCATGCACAGGGAAAAAAGGTAAATCCACGTCTTGAAAGAGCTGAGTTTGTTCGTTGAGCGCTGCAGCGCTACAAATTTTGCATTTTGATTTGGAGTCGGTGTCCTGGATTTTTGCTTTAAATATGAGAAGCGCTGCAGCGCTGCCTTCGGATTTATATGAACATGAAGCGCTGCGTGCGCTGAAGATGAAGCGCTGCAGCGCTGAATGTTGAGTTAAATGCATGTTTTCTAGTTGCACGTTGTTCGGATCTTCATTTTCGCCCAGCTCCGTTTGCAAGGAATTTGAATGCACATGTCAATTATGTTTTGTTGTATTCGTTGTTTTTCAATGGTCGCATTGAGCGCTGCAGCGCTCCAAATTTGATAGCACGTATGTTACTTTGCGCTGCAGCGCAAAAAAAATGGTTGTCGTCGTGATGTCGCATCGCGCTGCAGCGCGTGCGCGCTCGTGCTTCATGGGCCTCGGGCTGCAGCCCAGATCAACATTTTTGCTCGCAAGTTGCATGTCCATGCAAGTCGATGTTCACGCGCACGCCGCGCGACAGCTTGTCTCAAGCTGCGGCCGCGCGCCGCATCCGCCGTCGCGCCCGCGGGCTCGCACGTTGCATTCGGCGCTATATATAGCGCTGGCATGGCGCTGCAGGCGCGTCAGGAGGAGCAGATCTTGCAGTACATCGAGGAAAGCAATTCCTCGGGGAGGTTGGCATCGGGGTGGGATCAACTGAAGGAGTTCCTGCTGGCGGAGGGGCTAGCGTATTACCAGCAGGTCCCACCGAACCAGATGGGCATCGACATTCGGAACCGCAGCGGTTCGTTAGTGAACCCTGCGCGGGCTCACAATTTAGGCGCGAAGATTTGCGCCCAGGGCTTCGTCTTGGCCAAGACGGCTGCAGCCACTGCCTTCGAGGCCCCGCAGGGGGCGCAGTTGGAAGAGACCGCGATGGCGAACGACCGCCTTTCGCGGCTCAGCGGGGGTCGGTGCCCCCCGCTGGACTCATTGCGGTATACGTCAGTGGGCGGCTCCCACACGAACGTCTTCCTCCGCTGCGTGCTGGCCAAGGCGCCGACCACAGTGAAGGCGCTGGCAGACTCTCGGGACAACATCGACTCCGAAAAGCTGCGCGCGTTGCATCCGCAACTTGCGACGGCAGTCAAAAAGGGCCTGACGTGGTTGATCATCAAGCACGCGGTGGCCAAAGTGAAGGGCCTCAAGAACTTCGCGCAGAGGGCTTTGAACGCCGACGTCAGGGAGGCGGTTCACGAGACCGAGATCATTCGGTCAGGCTGCAGCCTATCCCCACTATAGTATATAGCGGTATGTAGTAAGGACCAGGATGATGCACGAGGAGGGTGATGAGTGGGAGCGCGTTGGGGAGGAGGTGAGAACGAGGAGCAGGAGCATTATATCTTACAGTGCTGCAGCACTTGATCGGCTCGGCGCTTGCTGCAGGCAGGTGGGCGGATGCTCTTGGCACACAGCCTCGCTGAGGGTTCCAGCAAGCCCGATTGGCGCGACATCGCCGAGCAAGCGGGCCACGCGAACCCACCTTGCAAGGCGTGGGTCGCTGACTTGTGCAAGTTTGTTGAGCTCGGGCCACAAAACGGAGAACTTCTCCGTGAAATAGATGAAGCCCTCAAGACCTTCACGAATGTGGACGTCTCGGGGCAAACTTTGATGTGCGGCTCTGAATTTTGGCGCAAGTTGAATTCGATTAAATGGGGGAAGCACCAGGAGTCGTACCCGTATGTCGTAGCGGCGCTCGTGAAGGCCAACTATTCAGGCGAGCGCGTGGTGGATAGCATGTGCAGGACCATCCATAAGCTTATCGGCGCCCCCATTGTAGTGACATGCGCTGCAGCGCATCTATGCATTGCGCTGCATTGTTAGAACTGCGTACCCACCCCTCCCCCCTCCCCACACGCACACACACACGCACGCACCGTTGCATTGCTTTACTCCCAAACGCAATCGCTGAAGCGATGGGCGGATCAAGGCAAACGAGATCGTCCACGCCGCGTCCCGCAAGGCGGACGTGGCTGCGGCCGACAACCTCATGGCCGACGCAAGGTCGCTCGTGAAGAGGTTGGATATCGGAGCGGAGCAGGGCTTCTTGCACATCGCAAAGTTGGATGTCCGCTGTGCCATGCACCTGGTGAAGAAGCGAGCGCCAGGAGACCGCACTTTCGGATGCGTAGCAGATATAGCACAGGTATCTTCTCACGCCACCTTTCGTGTGCTCCTTGTTTCCCTCCCTCCCTGCTTTTCGCCATTCAATGTCGCTGCAGCGACCCTCCAGAGAGGTCTTCCTCCATGAGCTCGGGGAGCCAGCCCAGCTGCAGATGAAGAGCTTGGGGATCGAGTTCGGCAAGGCGGCGCAGACCGACAAGCAAGGCGATGGCGCACCCGAGTTCCCAGCGAGCGCCGATGCAGACGCGCCGCGCGCGGCAGCGTCGTCGGCCGCTGAGTTGAAGAGCAACGTCTTCCGCATGCGGCGTGCAGGGTTCGACGTGGGGAAGCACATCGTCCAGAAGAAGGAGGTGGATGACGTCTTCGAGGTGCTCTCCATCTCGGAGAATGGGATCACCGCTCAGAAGAAGTTGCACGGCGACCTGGTGGGCGAAGAGATCTCCATTGCGCGGCTGCAGCCGCCCCGCCGCCCGTGCAGGGAGCAGGGAGGGGGGAGGAGGAGGTAGTAACTGCGATATTGTATTTCCTGTACTTAAGTTGCAATGGGTTGGTCGACGCGCTGCAGCGCACGGAGCAGTTAGCCGAGCGGGCGGATTGAAGTAAACATATTGCTCGAGAATTACAAGTTGACGTCCAGGGTGCAGGAGCAGTCGCCGTTCACGAAGGAGCACTTGCCGCCAGCCCACGAGGGTTGGGCGATGGACGCGTTCAAGGGGGCATGCAACATGGCGCTGCGGCTCCAAGCGCTGAAGTACCAGGCGAACATTGTGCACTTGGAGATCCTGCAGGACCCACCTGCCGCGCGCTGCAAGCGAGCGTTCAAAAGGGGGGAGCTCGTCAGACTTGTGCTTCCGCAATCGCCCGCGCCCCCCTCCGACGACGCCGCGCTGCAGCGCTGCGCTGAGCACGAGGTAGCGAGGATTTCGGGGCACGTCAGGCCGTAGCGACGAGGTCAGTGATGTTACCGACTGCGCGCCATGTAGCTCCACGCGGTGGGAGTGGTCGCATTTCAGCCTCGTCCACGCGGGTCAGCACGGGCTGCGTTGCGGAGAGCATCTCGTTGGGGAAGGTTGGCCTCTACGAGTTCTTCGTGGGCCCGCAGTTCGCAGGGCCCCCCGCTGAGGGGTCGCGGGGCCCCGACGCCTTTGTCAGCCCCTTCTGGGTGGTGGCAAAGTCCGACTCAGAGCCCAACATGGAGCTCCGAAAGGAGACCGTGACGTTCGGGACAGGCGTCAACAAGGTGCAGGTGGGGGTGCCCCAGATGCATAACACTTGCGCCCTGTCCGCGGGCGACTTCCTGGTGGTGAAGCCGTGGCCGCGGCTGCAGCCGCGGCCAGCCAAGAAGCTCAGGACGGCCTGAGCTGGCGATATAGAGGGACCACGCGGGAGGATGAGGCAGGAGGGAGGGGTGATGCGGAGGAGGAGGAGGAGGAGGCAGGGTAAGGTTTGGCATAGGGAGGAGGATGAGGGGGCTTAAGGAGCGGCGAGCGCACATGACGGCACCGAGCGTGGCCCTCCGATTGGTGTAAACAGTGTGCGGGTTGGTGCGAAGTGCGATACTTGCCGCGGCGCTGCAGCGCGCGGAACGATTCGTTGCGCCAGCATCGTCGCTGCAGCGACTGTACAATATTGGTGCTGACATCAGCCTTTCCCACAGACATGCCGCTGCAGCGGCTTCGTCATCACTGTTGTGCTCGATGTGATCGTTGCTCTTCGCTTCATCTTTCACATGCGCTGCAGCGCACCTCATCATGAGCACCTCGTCCGCGCACATGTTGCCTCATCACTCCATCGCAGCAATTTTGGCGCTGAAGTGCGACCGCGCTCGGGCTGCAGCCTCGGCGCGCCGCGCGCGCGATGGCGACGATCAAGCGCGACTGCGTCGTGTTGCACGACAACCGTACGGGGCGCGAGCTGGTCGCGGCCGTCGAGGTCATCGGAGACCGCGAGTGTATCACCGTGACCACCGCAGGTTGGAGCAAGTGGGCGTGCGGCAAGGCTCAGGGCTTGCGAGGCACGATGTTCCTAACGTGGCTGAAAAATCAGCGCACCGCGTCGTCGGGGCCAACGGCGCCGACGACGCTCTTCGCTGCAGCGGAGCCAGGCCGCCGCCCGACCACGCGGTCCGGCCGC